ATATCAGCTTTGACCAAAGGAGACCCCTGGCCTCTCCCGGCCTCTTCCTGTGGTTCGTTGGCCCCCTCCCTTGGCTGCATGCTGCTCTTGGGGGGGAGGGGTGTCACTGTTGGGGCGCTCCCAGCCCTACCTCCGGCCCTTGCGACCACACCCATTCTCACTGTGAATCTCCCCGCTGGGGTCGGAGCGTTGGGCAGAGTTGGGGAGTGGGGAGGGGACTGAGCCAGCCGGAGGGCCCCCTGAACCCCTGCTCCCGCCCACCCCGGGACTGATAATGTGAAGTTCCTCATTTTGCACAAGTGGCACTAGCCCCAGGGCCAACCCTTCCCTCCTCAACCTTGACCAAGGGCAGGGAGTTCTGGAGTCGGAGGGCTGAGATAGCCCTGGCCTACCCGGTCTCCCACTCCGTGGTGTCCCCTCTCTTCCCTGGGGCCCCGGACCATATTTATTGCATGCGCCCCGGGCAGCCCCCCATCCTGAGCCCAGGCTGGGCTGGGCTGGAAACGTGGTCTCTTTAACTCCCTCCTCATTTGTATATTTCCTATCTTGTACACAGGCTCTTTCAGAGCCGCTTCCATTTTCTATACTCGAACCAAACAGCAATAAAGCAGTAACCAAGGACCCGGACCCTGCCACTCTCTTCTACCCTTGCACAAAGACCTGGGGTGCACCTGGCGGGTAGACAGAGCTGCTGTCACACAGGTGCAAATGCTGGGATCTGCCTCCCCTCCCCAGAAACAGATCAGCAAGAGGTCAGGTATTTTTCATAACTAAAAATTTATTAAGGAAACAAAACCAGTGCTGCAAGTGGGGCAGAAAGGAGAGATGGGTCTCCCTCCCACCCACTCAGTCATCAGTCTTCAGGCTGAGGAGAGAATCTCAAAAGAGGAGCCAGGGGACCCTGTACCCCCAAAGCCCAGGCTTCTGTGGCCCTGGGGGACTCATACCCCCAAACTATCGGCCTTGGCTCTCTTGCATAGTCCTCTTTCCTTCTGGCATAGTGCTGGGCCTTGGGGAGGGCACAGCCATGCTCCCATCCTCTGGGTAGACTGTATAGTCAAGACTGTGGGCTTTGCGGGATTCCCCACCAAGATTTACCTGCCTCCACCTAAAACCCTGTCTTCCCATATGTCCTCCTTATCTCTGCCCTGCGTTGGAGGAACTCATTCCCAGTAGAGGTTCTGAACATGGGTACCAGCTGCAGGGGCAACAAAAGGGCCCGTGCCGGTTCTTCTGGGAAGTTGAGGGCAAAGCTAGAAAAAGAGTAAAGACTCCAGGCTAGGCAATGCTACCTCCAGGCACTGGACTGCCTTACCTCGGGCTGGACTGAATAAGCTGGGAAGTTTCTCAGAGCACAAGGGCCTGGGTGGGAAAGCTGCACTAGGTTCTTGCCACAGGTAGCAGAGAAGGAAGATTTAGTGAGAACCCCATGACAAGAAACTGAGGTGAGGAAGTTGAAGGGATCAACCAGAAAGGGAAGGAGGGTGAGGGGATGTTCTGCAGGGAAGGAGGGTAAGGAGAGGGGAGAGGGGAACTGAGAAGAGTCTGAGGAAATTTCCTGAAGAAGGAACTAGAGTGAAAGGAAGGCCACTCTGGAAGCATGGGCCTAGGCCAGTTGTCCCTTTCCTCTAAGATCCATGACCGTCCGAGGGGAAAACAAGTGGCAAAGTGTGAGGGACCCAGAGTGATAAGTGCAGAAAGAGCAGCAAGATATGTGTGTGTGTTTGAGGTGGAGGGTGGAAGAGGGCTGCTGCAGGGACATGGTGTCCAGAGCCCGTCTTGGGTCCAGGGGAAAATCCAGGCCTCAGGGAGATGGAGAGACATACCTTGGACACTCTTCATTATATAACCAAAGCCTCTTGAACACATTCAAGACAGAGGTTCTAAAAATTAAAGGGATCTTGTGATTTCACTTGCATGTGATGGAAACTCTTAAACCCCTGCCCTGTCTCCACCGGAGAAAGTGGCTGAGTCCTTGGGTGAGAAGGACGTCCCCCAGCCTTGGAATGAGATGGGGGAAGGGAGAAAGGCTGGGAGCATGGGCGGACTATCTGGCTTGCCCACCTGCTGTCACTGTAGCCAGCCACCTCCCTGCTAAATCTTGGCAGCCCAGGAGGGTCCCAGCAGCTTCCACCCGACCCTTGGGAGGGGCTCTGTGAGGAGCAACTCCCCCACAGCATGGCCACGGCGTGGGTTGGAAGAGGATGGTTTATTGTCTAGGTGGATTGGTGGCTCAGGCACGTGGGCATCGTCTGTGCTACACTGGGCGCCTGGTGGCCTTTCAGGAGCGGTTCCATAAGAGTGGGCCCTGGCGTGGCCTCTTCAGCCCACCTGGGCCCATGTGAGGAAGGCTGGGATATCCCGCACAGGCACATTCCTTGTGAGCGCCTTCACACGCAGGTTCCGGTCATCTGTCAACAGCACCACCTCCCGCAGTAAACGAATTGGCTCCTCTGTTGCAGGAGAGAGCAGAAGGCCTTCACTGAGGACAGGAGGCAGAGGCACCGGCTGCCTCTTTCACCCTGGAGGGGAATGTGGTCCTGGGGGTGAGGTGCCAAGGCCAGCCATTTACTTGCCCTTCTACAAGTCCTTTCCTTCATCCAGGCTCCCAGCCTAGAGTGTCCCACCCCTACTGGCTTAGAGAGGGCTGTGCTGGGCTTCTGTGTTGGACCTCCCCACCTCCTACGCAGGTCTCTGTTCTGCCCATAACCGCTGGCCTCCATAGACCTGTCTTCCAGGACTCTGAACTGAAGGAGCAGAAGCAGCCCCTTGCCCTTTATGCCTTCTTACTGTATGGTTGGCTCTGGATCACCGTACCCCTCTTTTTTGCATATCCCCTCCCTCCTTCCCTCTTTCCCTCCCAAAGCCAGCAGATTGATGCTTTAGTCCTCCAGAGACAGAAAAGATGGAATAGAAAGTATATCCAGGGCTTCCTGATGTGGGGAGAGGTAGCTCTGAGAGCTCTGAGGAGAGAAGGGCAAGGTCCTCGGCAGAACAGTGCCAAGGGGGTTCGGAGGCTATGGCCAACTGATTTCCCCTACTAATAAAAATAATCCATATTTATGGTGAAAACCTCTAACAGTACAGATGAGTAACGGGAAAGGCAGAGTCAGGATTATCCTCCCAGGTCTCTGAAGATCTGTATATCCTTTCAGGTTTCTGTCTGCATATTTACAAGTACATACAAGTGTATATATAAACTTTTTTCCCCCTACAACATTGGGGTCATACCTACTTTATTCAGATTGAATATACTCAAAAGATCTTTTTATGTTGGCACAGATATCTTTCATTTTTAGAAGACTTTTTTTAGCACAATCTCTACACGACCTCTCTTTTCCTAATTCCCTAACCTTTAACATACTGGAGAGAACTTAAACTGAGGCCAAGCACTCATACAAGTGACATCTCCACTCCTGGCATGTCTGCTTGGGTGGCAAGTCCATTCCTCAGTCCCAGTCTGGAGATTTTCTGATGGAGGTCCGGCAGACAGAAAGGCACAGGAAATGTCCTGTGGTGCTCACTGACTACGTGGGCTGGCAGGGATGGGGGACTGCAAATATCTATGCCTGACCTGAGTAATTTCAGGCTTGCCAGCTCCAGGCAGAGAGTCTGAGAACTGGCTTTCAGCCTGGGGAGGAGATTGGGGAGCAAGGGAGGGCGAGTTTGTGGGGTTGGTGGTGGTGAGACAGGAGTGGGGGAGGAAGGAGGGTGTGATGGGAGGCAAGGGGCTGTGGTGGGTGGAGGAAACAGGGAAGTGGCCCTGGGTAAGGGGATGCTTGGACTTATTCAGCTGCCTGGGTTGGGCCCCTCTGTGGTGCAAGTATGGGTTGGGGCGGTGGTGTGCAGCGCTACGGGGAGCTCCTAGCTGCTGTCTGAGTCTGTCTGCAGCTCTACCATTCCTGCCCTGGGCCTCAGACCAGGAGAGTCCCAGGCCTTAGGTCAGCCAACCAAGGCCTGGCGTTGCTGGCAGGGGTCTGCAGGGGTTTCTGTGGATACTTTGAGACATTTTTAACAATAAACATCCTCTGTTTTGACACTGGTAACTTCACTTTGTTAGAAACCAGAGACTGTCATCTTGTCAGGCCCCATCCGCCATAATCCACATGATTTTAAAATTCAACATCGTTTACACATAAACATTTGGTGACGGTTTCTCTGTGAATCTGACAAGTTAATCTGCTAAGAATTCACACTGACAAATGGGGTTTGATTACACCAGCCGTTGCTGATGTAATTCTGATAGGGGCGGTCCCCAGGATGGCAACGGGTTCCTGCAGGCTGTTTAGGGTGAAGTGGGGGGTGGGAGGACTAGTGGGGCCAAAGCCAAAATGTGTCTGTGCTAAGAAAGAAAAGTTCTGAGGCTGGGGTGGGGCCTAGCCGTATTGGAACTACACTTCCCAACAAGGCCTTCTGCAATCCTGCCTACCTTGCCCTCAGGAGGTATCCCTCTAAGAATCTCCCTAGGGGCAGAGCACATGCTCCTCTGGCTCAGCCAGGACTCTTTTTTTTATCACTTTAATGCTTCAGATCTGGTCCTAAGGGACATACAAGTCATGTGGCAGGACCTCTCTGAGAAACAGCAGTTGTGGACTTGTTACCAGTCCCCAGAACAGAGATAAATGCAGGAGTGAGGGGATGAGCTAGCATGGGAGGAAAAGAGGCAGGAGAGAAGACAACCCCCAGAGCAGCTTGAAAGCCAGCGCTAGGAGCACGAACAGAAAGCAAAGAGGAGCAGCAGGGACAGAAAGAAAATGACAAGAGACTCTATATGTAAACAGAAACCAAATGGTGAGCACTGCCCACTCTGAAGATTACACTAACCTAAAGGATCTTTGGAATTCCTTCTAGAAGAAGAAATGTCAGAATCCTGGAGGAACAGAAAATCCCTGAGCATCACTGACCTGTGGGGTCATGT